ATTTTATCTGAAAGATATTTTTGAAATTCCTATGAATGTTTCTGCCACATGGCCGCATCTGTTTTCGCCTGGAATAGGGTTAAACTAGGAATGTATCTTGTATGCTTTGTATGTATATTGGGCAACTTGGCACAGATTCCARCAGATTGATTCAGTAAACAATACTCTAAATGGGCAACTACTTGGCTAACAGCTGGTTACCTGATTTATGCATGTGAATAATTCCGGTCTCATTTCCGTTTTCTGTTCCCACAAAAGTGGGTTTTTATTTCAATTATTATGATTGTTGTTTGAATACAAACAAAGGGAGAGACCGAAAGAGGAAGAAAGACGAAAGCCACAGAAGTTTAAATACTCTGCCCCGCAATAAATATAAACCATAATGCACTCGGACGTATAGAAATAATACTTATTCTCTAATACGTAATACTATTCTATATTTATTTGGTATTTAAAATTGCTCATTCAAATTCAAAGTTAGGGAATTTATATGTTCACAGAGTATACATAATGTATACATATTATTATATTTCAAATCTGCATCCTTACGTTCTTTGATCATATTTCATTTTAGTTCACACAATTGTAATTGTAGATATAATGGGAAACTTTGCATTGAAGCTATGAATCACTGAGAATTTCAATATCAAAATATTTTGCTGGAATCTGAACCTGGCGTGATGTCAATGGGAGTTTTATACTAAAATTAAAGCACAATTATAATTAACGAACAAGTTAATTTTTACTTATTTTATATTTTTCAATAATTGGTGCGAATTTTAAAAGATCTCCAATCTTATTAAATATTTGTCCACAATTACAAAATGTTGTAATCGAATAGTTGATAAATGTTAATATAACTGAATGTAAAAGCTGTTATCTGCTTTAGTATTCAGAGCAAATATTAATTTATGATAAGGAGTCCCAATAAAGAATCACGTAATTGCCGCACATTTGGCGCTGGACTTATGAAAGAGATTTGCCTTTAAGTTTCGCAGTGGACGCAGACATCATCAACTCTACAAATTGCTTCCTCAATTACAACTGTATAAGTAATTTGGTCTGTGCCGTTATACACATGGGTAGCACGCCGAATGGCGC